CCTTGGCAGATCCCCTGTGGAGCTCTCAAGCTCCTCCTCCTCACCTCTGCAGCAGAAGGGCATCCCAGGAACTCCACACAAAATGAAAGTCTCTGCTGCTTCTCTGCAATTGAGCTCAGAACCCTCCCCTTTCCTGGCTCTGTTCTGGAGCCCAGCAGATGGGCAGTGGGACTCCACCCCACAGCAGAGCTTCAGGTGCACAAAGCCTTCCAAGTACGAACAGCAGCTCCAGCCCCACACCGCCTTCAGTGTCTTTTCTGTGTTAAAGAGCCAAGAGCCCTTCTCCTTTGTCCATCTTAGGACATGTATTTATATGTATTTACAAGAAGGGTAGCTCTGGAGATCCGTACATGAAATGAAGTACAAAGCACAGAATGAACTATGCATCCTGCCTCTGAAACTGCAGTTACCAGCATAGCATCATAAAAATTCTAGAATTTAGTGGGAACTGGAGTGTTAGCACTCCCAGCACAGGCCATATCTTCTGGACCAGCGAACAAGTTTTAAATGAACAAAGTCTACTGTATTAACTCACAGCAGCATTCAGAAAGGTATTTTCTATCAGTTAACATAATCATTTATGTCCATCACTGAATGTACATAAATTATTTCACATCATGCCAGTTAAGGACCTCCAGCTCCATTTTGAGATTTCACTAAGATTCAGAGCTAACTATGCTGGCTATTTCATAGAATTACTTCAGAAATCCAGTATAGTTGTAGCCATATTGGTCCCAAGATATAGAATCATAGAATCATAGAATATCAGGGTTGGAAGGGACCTCAGGAGGTCATCTAGTCCAACCCCCTGCTCGAAGCAGGACCAATTCCCAGTTAAATCATCCCAGCCAGGGCTTTGTCAAGCCTGACCTTAAAAACTTCTAAGAAAGGAGTTTCCACCACCTCCCTAGGTAACCCATTCCAGTGTTTCACCACCCTCATAGTGAAAAAGTTTTTCCTAATATCCAATCTAAACCTCCCCCACTGCAACTTGAGACCATTACTCCTTGTTCTGTCATCTGCTACCATGTCTAGTTGGCAGCCAGTATCAAGTAGAGTGCCCCAAGGGTCGGTCCTGGGGCTGGTTTTGTTCAATATCTTCATTAATGATCTGGAGGATGGTGTGGATTGCACTCTCAGCAAATTTGCAGATGACACTAAACTGGGAGAAGAGGTAGATACGCTGGAGGGTAGGGATAGGATACAGAGGGACCTAGACAAATTAGAGGATTCGGCCAAAAGAAGTCTGATGAGGTTCAAGAAGGACAAGTGCAGAGTCCTGCACTTAGGATGGAAGAGTCCAATGCACCGCTACAGAGTAGGGACCGAATGGCTTGGCAGCAGTTCTGCAGAAAAGGACCTACGGGTTACAGTGGACGAGAAGCTGGATATGAGTCAGCAGTGTGCCCTTGTTGCCAAGAAGGCCAATGGCATTTTGGGATGTATAAATAGGGGCATAGCGAGCAGATCGAGGGACTTGATCGTTCCCCTCTATTCGACATTGGTGAGGCCTCATCTGGAGTACTGTGTCCAGTTTTGGGCCCCACACGACAAGAAGGATGTGGATAAATTGGAGAGAGTCCAGCAAAGGGCAACAAAAATGATTAGGGATCTAAAACACATGACTTATGAGGAGAGGCTGAGGGAGCTGGGATTGTTTAGTCTGCAGAAGAGAAGAATGAGGGGGGATTTGATAGCTGCTTTCAACTACCTGAAAGGGGGTTCCAAAGAGGATGGCTCTAGACTGTTCTCAATGGTAGCAGATGACAGAACAAGGAGTAATGGTCTCAAGTTGCAGTGGGGGAGGTTTAGATTGGATATTAGGAAAAACTTTTTCACTATGAGGGTGGTGAAACACTGGAATGCGTTACCTAGGGAGGTGGTAGAATCTCCTTCCTTAGAGGTTTTTAAGGTCAGGCTTGACAAAGCCCTGGCTGGGATGATTTAACTGGGAATTGGTCCTGCTTCGAGCAGGGGGTTGGACTAGATGACCTTCTGGGGTCCCTTCCAACCCTGATATTCTATGATTCTATGATTCTCCAGTCGTCCGGGACTTCCCCCGATCACCATGAGTTTTCAAAGATAATGGCCAATGGCTCTGCAATCACAGCCGCCAACTCCTTTAGCACTCTCGGATGCAACGCATCCGGCCCCATGGACTGGTGCTCATCCAGCTTTTCTAAATAGTCCCTAACCATTTCTTTCTCCACAGAGGGCTGGTCACCTCCTCCCCATGCTGTGCTGCCCAGTGCAGGAGTCTGGGAGCTGACCTTGTTCATGAAGACAGAGGCAAAAAAAGCATTGAGTACATTAGCTTTTTCCACATCCTCTGTCACTAGGTTGCCTCCCTCATTCAGTAAGGGGCCCACACTTTCCTTGACTTTCTTCTTGTTGCTAACATACCTGAAGAAACCCTTCTTGTTACTCTTAACATCTCTTGCTAGCTGCAACTCCAGGTGTGATTTGGCCTTCCTGATTTCACTCCTGCATGCCCGAGCAATATGTTTATACTCATCCCTGGTCGTTTGTCCAATCTTCCACTTCTTGTAAGCTTCTTTTTTGTATTTAAGATCAGCAAGGATTTCACTGTTAAGCCAAGCTGGTCGCCTGCCATATTTACTATTCTTTCTACACATCGGGATGGTTTGTCCCTGTAACCTCAATAGGATTCTTCACAATACAGCCAGGTCTCCTGGACTCCTTTCCCTCTCATGTTATTCTCCCAGGAGATCTTGCCCATCAATTCCCTGAGGGAGTCAAAGTCTGCTTTTCTGAAGTCCAGGGTCCGTATGGCTTATTACAACAATCTGTAAACCACTACCTCCCCCTTTTGTCTTATGACTTCAGAGGTGTTTGTAAATGGGCCAATCTACCTTGAATGGTTCCTTACAATATGTGCTAACTACTTATGCTAAACAATCTGTTCCATCTTGGATTTTGCTGAGATGCTGGGAGTACCTTTCCCAAACCTGAAGAAGAGCTCTGTGGGCTCGTCTACACTAGAGGCACTTCATCAGTGCAGCTGCATTGCTGTAGCGCGTCCAGTGAAGATGTTCTATGCCGATGGGAGAGAACTCTTCCATCAGAATAATAAATCCACCTCCACAACAGTGGTAGATATGCAGCAGGAGAAGCTCTCCTGCTGATATAACACTGCCCGCAACGGCACTTAGGTCGGTGTAACGAACGTTGCTCACAGGTGGCTTATTCAGACCCCTGAGCGATGCAAGTTTTACCAAAGTAGGATAGATCTGGCCGGTGTGGCTCGAAAGCTTGTCTCTCTCACCAACAGAAGTTGGTCCAATAAAATATATTACTTCACCCACCTTGTGTTTCAGAAATCCAGACACTGTCATGACCAGCTAGTACTTTGGATTCAAAAACACCTGAAGTGTGAAACGGGATAGCTGGTCTTGATGAACCATTTGCTGTTCAACTAAATTGGATTTGTTTTTTAAGGGAGACAGACAGGTAACCATGTCATTCCATTTGGTAATTATGTAGAGTGGTGTATTATCTCATGACAGGATTATTATTACTGAAGACACAAAACAGGATGTTTTCCCTGAAGTTTCAAGTTCTCCATACCTAAGTCCTCTCTGTGTATATGCATCGTGATGACCACTTCTTACACTAAATAAATTAGATCAAAGGGACACTGTTGAAGGTATTATGTCTAAAGAACTAACTACAATAGGGGTCCTTCTCTCTAAGACATGGCCTGCAGGGTTCTTTCTGGGTATCTGTTTCAAACTGAACATTCATGCCACAAGGGAACATAAAACTAGAATTTTTTCCAGTGTTTCTTATAAAATGCCAGTAAAATAGGTGCACACATGCCCTCTCGCTCACAGAGCATGTCCGATACCCACTGATATCCTCCAATGATGCCAACAGGCATTGTGTCAGACCCCTAGTGCATGGTAGTTGTGGTTAATGCACCATGTAGATGAGTGTACACGTGTACCTTCTTGTTTACGGGAATCTCACAAGCAACAGGTTGATATGTGTTTTTCCTGAAAGAAAAACTGGTGTCGATGGAAGAGATCTGAAAATAAGTCTTAAAATGTTACAGGGCAACAACTCCATAGGCATGACAGTAATGTCCCTTGAGCAGCAAAGCACTCGTCTTTCACATAAGTTGCTCTATCTCCACTGTCTATCCCCTTCTCTTTCCTTTGAATAAAATGACATGGGGTCAGCAGCTCTAACATGTACAATCATGGGCCCAGTAAAAAGAAGGACGGAGTAAGCAGGGAATGGCACATAACCCTTATGTTTTCCGCACATTACATTTTACTCTGTGGAAATAACCTGTAGATCGGCATGAGTTGCAGGAAAGCTACCAGTAACTCCCAAAACACTCAACAGCTGGTTGGTAACTGCAGTGCCAGTTGGCTCCAATGGGGAGACATGCGACCAACATGCCCATTTTTCCTCGTTAAATTTCTCCAGACAAATGAAAACGAACCCATCCAGCACTGAGAAGGCACAAGCCCACCATACACAGGACTAGGAACCAGGGTGAAGAAAACAAATGAGGCTCAAGGGCACTTCCACAACTTTTGAGAACTCTAAACAAGAATTTGGTGTTACATATTCACATCACTGTGCATTTCAAAGGACAATCTTGTATGGAACAGCAGCTCCTGGAACACACCCATGACTACAGTAACTAATGCATATTACTGGCTGAGTTCTGATGCCTCTCAGGAATCACAGGGCTTGCGCTGTACCATGGAGTTACTCCAATTACATTAAAAGCAGGAGAGAAAGGGTTAATTAAAAGAAGCAATAATTAGTTTTTTAAATCCTGGGAAAAGACTTTCATGACAACAGATATGATTTTGTTTTTCCGAATAAAATGCCTCATTCTGTGCCCCTGTTGTAAAATTTCCCTTCCAAGCCAAGCAGCAGCCTGTCATACACAGTGACAGACAGCCTGCCTGATGCTTTGCTAGAACGTTACGATTTGCAGTAACATACAGACAAGCTCTTACCAATAGCACTGACAGCGTGTTTGAGCTCCAAAGTAAAGGCGGTAAGTGGTACCTCTTCAGACACTGGCATGATTGCTACGGTGGAGAGGTTGCTGGCAGCGTTTCCAGCATCCCACTTGCTGCCAGTGGTATGCAATCCAAGAGGATGACCTGCCAAAAAAAGTATGTAATTAGCCAACCAGAAAGCTGCATTCCCTTTTGGTACCAGGTCTCCTTTTCAATTGTCAGACTATAGGGAAATAATTATTGAATTGTTTAATCTGTGAGATGCACAATATCCTCTATTTATGCCAAGGGAAAGATTACAGACTATTCCATTCTAGACAGGGTGCATGCAGACTCTTATTTTCAATTGCTGAAGGGGCAGGCTTTGGGTAAAATTCAGGCAATGTCAGAATTCAGATTCTGAGACTACGTGAAGTAGGATGCATTTTCACCTAATCCAGGCTCCCCTGAAAGACAAAAGATGCTTCTCACCCTATCAGAGCTCAGCCCTGGCATAATGAATTTAGACGGCAGGCATCCTCTTGGCCTGGGAAAGAACTCAATTAGTTAACAAAAAGTAACAACCTATTTCCATGGGTCAAAGGATTCTAGGAATCAACACACACTTTGTATAGTCTTCCGAATCAGGGAAATAAGCAAATATCCAGGAGGTCATTTCAGATATGGTCCATATTAGGGTTTGAAATCTCCACTGTCCTTTCTTTTTGCATTTGTGGTGGGGAATTGCAGACCACTGAGGGAATGTGATAAGGAAGGGACCATTTCCACAATAGGAAAGTGCTCTCATACTTTTCACACTAATAACTGCAGGTTCCTATTAAGCAGCTTTCTTGATTTCTGCATTGTGAGTGAACAAGCACATCTTACCAGAACCCTGCAGTACCTTATTTTCTGGTATTAAACGTGAAGATTCCTATTTTACACAGGTTGGCGTTAGACTCGCTGGGTCCCAGGACAGGACAGGACAATGGAAGCAATATGAAGGACAAAAGACAAGATGTCCAAAAAATAATATAGAACTAAGGAGTGGGACCCCATCCTGCCTTCCTTACCTGCTTGCACATTGGATTTCTGCAATGTTTTGGTTTTATGAATATTGTGACAGTCATATTACTACTACTGCGACAAAAAAATTAAAAATTCTGCACCTGATATTTTAAAATTCTGCAAAATTCTGCATATTTTATTTGTCAAAATAACACCATATAATCACACTGGTTTCAATTATTTTGGTAATTTATTTCAAAATACCTGTCAGCAAATATGTCTGTAACAATACAGACACACACACAAATTCCCCCAGGAGCAGAGAGTTAAAGGAACTCCTACGACAACCCAGTATCTGTTTCTCTGCTCCCTCCCCCAACCTCCAGAGCCCAGCCGTAGGGCGCCCCCCCAACCCAGATACCCACACCACCACCAAGATTCCAGCTGCGGCGCGCCCCCACAGGCCAGACACCTGCACTCCTACCCTCCAGAGCCCAGGTATCCAGAGGGAGCAACAGCCTGATGCTGGATCCTGGGGTTGCATGGAGTTTTCTGCGTGCCACTTCCTTACTTCAGGGTGTGCTGAGAACTGCAGTGGTGCAGAATTCCCCCAGGAGCATACTACTATGATTACTGCTACTACTGTCATTCATAATAATCATAATAATACAGTATAAAAAGCACTTTTATGCAAGAAAATAACCAAATCAGAACACATTGACAAACTCATCTAAATCACTTAGAAGTGGACCCTCCTTGCCTTTGAGGAGGCAAATTCTTCAATTATTTTAGAGATGTCCAACTTGCAACAAATTTCGTGTTCAACTGAAGTCTCAGACAGACCATTCAGACAATCTTGTGAATAGTTCTTCAGTAACTTTAAACGCGAGAAGCTTCTCTCTCCTGAGGCCATGGTTATGGGTACAGACAAAAGGAGACACAATGCAATGCTTAGGTTTGGGTACAGATCCAACAACTTTTTAGCGTAGAGGTTGTTTAACATCTCCAGAGGCAAATGAGACACCCCAGCTGACAAAGCATTTACAGCTGGGAATCTCTGGAGATTCAAGTCATCAGCATCAATGTCACCCATTTCTTGAGCCAAATGCTTGCAACTTTGCGGACTGAAGGTGATGGCTAGTGGTGTCCCTACAGTGGGGCTCTGAAGGAGTTTGCTTACGTGACTGATTTGAAACAAAACATCATGCCATACAACAATGAAGATTATGAAGTGCCCTGAAGAGATCTCTCACGGAAGGCTTCTTGTCTCTGAGGCTGTCATACGATCTCTTTTCTGAACTGCATGATCAACGAGTGCTTCAAGAGCACACTGCACTTCAGTTAGGTGATATCGAAGCACCTTAAAATGGTCAATATGAGACTCCCAGTGAGCGTCTGACAGCTGTTTGACTGTAAGCTGGGTAATGTGCTTTTAAGTATGGACCAGCGCTGAGTAGAAGAACTGAAAACAAGAAAAACACACTGTAACACCCCCAAAAATGTCACATACAGCACAGATATTTAGCAGCATCCAAGATGACCAAATTCATACTGTAACTGCCATAGGGCACGGACAACGCTTTTTTGTTAATGTTCTGTATTATTTTTTGGACATCTTGTCTTTTGTCCTTCATATTGCTTCCATTGTCATAGCTTTGTCCTCTGCAGTCATAAACACTAATTTTCAAGTTCTCAAGGTGGACGAAAAAAGTGTCATATAGCATCTCTCCAGCAGTGGCCTCAACAGCAAGGAATCCAGTAAAATGTTCTGTAGCTGAAGCCCCAACAGATAGTTCACAATTAACAATGTGGAGTGTAACTGACAGTTTCTCAGGGTGGCTGCTGTCAGCAGTTCTGTCCATTATCACACCAAACATTCTGTATGATTAACTCTTTCAGCAATGACATGAAGGATGTACTTTCCCATTCTAGCAATCAATTCATTTTTAATATCTTTGCTGAGGTAATGACTGGCAATTTCTCTTTTCTCAATTCACTGGTGTTCATTCATTACAGGGTCAAATTTTGCCAACAGTTCATAGAATCATAGAATATCAGGGTTGGAAGGGACCTCAGGAGGTCATCTAGTCCAACCCCCTGCTCAAAGCAGGACCCATCCCCAATAAAATCATCCCAGCCAGGGCTTTCTCAAGCCTGACCTTAAAAACTTCTAAGGAAGGAGATTCTACCACCTCCCTAGGTAACGCATTCCAGTGTTTCACCACCCTCCTAGTGAAAAAGTTTTTCCTAATATCCAACCGAAACCTCCCCCGCTGCAACTTGAGACCATTACTCCTTGTCCTGTCCTCTTCTACCACTGAGGATAGTCTAGAACCATCCTCTCTGGAACCACCTCTCAGGTAGTTGAAAGCAGCTATCAAATCCCCCCTCATTCTTCTCTTCTGCGGACTAAACAATCCCAGTTCCCTCAGCCTCTCCTCATAAGTCATGTGTTCCAGTCCCCTAATCATTTTTGTTGCCCTCCGCTGGACTCTCTCCAATTTATCCACATCTTTCCTGTAGTGTGGAGCCCAAAACTGGACACAGTACTCCAGATGAGGCCTCACCAATGTCGAAGAGAAGGGAACGATCACGTCCCTCGATATGCTCGCTATGCCCCTACTTATACATCCCAAAATGCCATTGGCCTTCTTGGCAACAAGGGCACACTGCTCACTCATATCCAACTTCTCGTCCACTGTCACCCTAGGTCATTTTCCGCAGAACTGCTGCCTAGCCATTTGGTCCCTGGTCTCTAGCTGTGCATTGGGTTCTTCCGTCCTAAGTGCAGAACCCTGCACTTATCCTTATTGAACCTCATCAGATTTCTTTTGCCCCAATCCTCCAATTTGTCTAGGTCCCTCTGTATCCTATCCCTGCCCTCCAGCGTATCTACCACTCCTCCCAGTTTAGTATCATCTGCAAATTTGCTGAGAGTGCAATCCACACCATCCTCCAGATCATTTATGAAGATATTGAACAAAACCGGCCCCAGGACCGACCCCTGGAGCACTCCACTTGTTCAAGCTGACCAAGGAAATTTCCATTGCTTGGATCATGTTGTTCTTCTGTAGTTCCACGAAAATACAGATTCCACTCTGCTGAACAACTATGCAAATGACTTTCATTACAACAGTTCCTCAATAATTCCTTTCCATTGCAATTAACTCCATATTGACACTGTCAACAGTTTTATCGCAACTGATCCTGCTTTCAGATTCTGCCATGCCTCCATACTGCATAAATGTACTGATGAGCATTCATGCTCTTTGAGACAAGAATGAATGTGCTTCCACGCATTGAAGCCGTCCTTCAAAAAGGAATGATTGCATTTTCCAAAAAGAGTACAACAAAAACAAAATACTTTATCTGCAGACATTTAAAACAGAAGCCAGGATCAGAGAATCATGTCACCATTTTTAAGGTTAATCTAATAGTTCTCCTTTGTAAAGCATCCAACAATGTCAGAATGACCTCAGTGGACTCACCTCACAGATCAGTGTCCTCAGGTTTGGCCTGAACGTTATCCCCAGTTTCAGCTTGCTCCTCAAAATTCAAAGGTGACTTCTCAGTGGATAGAGTGACAGAGCTACAGCTCACTTCATCGGATGCATACCGTGGAAACTGCAGTAGACTTTATATATACACAGAGAATATGAAACAATACCTCCTCCCACCCCACTGTCCTGCTGGTAATAGCTTATCTAAAGTGATCATCAGGTTGAGCCATTTCCAGCACAAATCCAGGTTTTCTCACCCTCCACCCCCCCACACAAATTCACTCTCCTGCTGGTGATAGCCCATCCAAAGTGACAACTCTTTACAGTGCTAATAAACAATGGTCACATAAACACCACCCTATACCGGAAACCTACTGACCGCTATTCCTACCTACATGCCTCCAGCTTTCACCCTGACCACACCACACGATCCATCGTCTACAGCCAAGCTCTGCGATACAACCGCATTTGCTCCAACCCCTCAGACAGAGACAAACACCTACAAGATCTCTGTCAAGCTTTCTTACAACTACAATACCCACCTGCAGAAGTAAAGAAACAGATTGATAGAGCCAGAAGAGTTCCCAGAAGTTACCTACTACAGGACAGGCCTAACAAAGAAAATAACAGAACGCCACTAGCCGTCACCTTCAGCCC